GTACAACAGCCACAAAGAGAAGACAATTTATATTCTCAACATTCTCCCAATACTTGCCACACTTCTTTTTCATACTCACAGCCATGGATGAAAGCATTGAATCCTCTTGTTTGCTTAATTCAGATAGCTAGTTTTGCATCCCACAAAGCTCATGAAAGTAAGAATTTGAAGTGACATTCAAAGTGGCACTAAACTTCAAAGTTATATCATAAAAAGTCTTCAGAAATTTCATAAACACCTTAACATTCTCCCAATCATCATCAAGGGGCGAGCCAATCTTCCGTTCCCCCTCCCCCTCATCTTTCCAAAAATAAGACACGAACTTGTCATCTTCCTCTTCATATCTTTCAAAAGCTTTTGAACTTAACGGCTCTATCTAACATCATATAGGTGGAGTTCCATCTAGTAGGGACATCTAGGCATACGAGACCTTTGTATTCAATTTTCTCTCGCTCCACACATGACTTGAATTTCACAAGTTCACTATATGGGCACAACACCTACCATGTAGAAATTCTCCACCTAAAACAACCCCTTTCCACCCCTTAATCTTCCTTCTCAAGTAGGTAATCATAGAGTCATTTGAGGAGGCATTATCAACAGTCATAGTGAAGACTCTCTCAATACCCCCAAGCATGCAAACATGACTCAATGACTTTACCAACACTCTCCCTTGTGGCTTGAAATTTGACAAAAGTTTATAATTCTTTTTTGCAAAGTCCACTAACTATCAACATAGTGTGCAGTTAGACAGAAATAATTAATATTTTGTAAGGATGTCCAACAATCAGTTGTTAGGCAAATCCTTTGACTACCCTTACTAAATTCAGCCCTCAGTTTCTTCCTCTCTTCCAAAAAAAGTTAGTAAATGTCCTTGGCAATCGTAACACGTGAGGGGATAGAGAATCTAGGTTGCGTCACTTGACAAAAATTCTTAAATCCTTCACCTTCAACAAACCTAAATGAAAGCTCATCTACAATCACCATTTCTGCAATGTTTTTTTACAATGCTCCTTGTTAAAGCCTATAGCAACAAGATTACTGTCAATTTTAGTGCTTGTTTGGAAACTCATAATTTTTTGTTTTTTGTCTTGGATCCTATATGGGTATTTCTTGCATTGTTTTTCTATGTGAACCTTCATACTACTGGTGCCATGTCTCCTACTATCACACGCATATGTTGCCCCACAATAGATACACTTACACCTAGGCTCATTTGGATCCTCACCCTCTATGATTTTGAAATGATCCCAAACAGGAGACTTTTTTTGTGACTTCATCCTCTTTTTACTGTCTCCCTCCTCTTTAGGCACAGGGGTAGGGCTGGGTGTGGGAGTGGGCAAGGTAATGGGCTCTTTAGGCACAAAGACAGATGTTGGATTTTTGGTCTGGCATTGGTCACTTTTTATTTCAGCAGAGGACTTGCAAGTGCTTTCAGAAGTTTGTGTCGGGTGGATGATAAATTTTTCCATCTAGCACACAAATTAACCTAAAAACATGTAACATATGATTGAAACTAAGCGTAGAGATTAACCTAAAATCAGCTCATCTCAGTTCTCATGAAAAACATAATATTTCTCAGAAAAAAAACTAACCTTTATGTTTTAGCCTTGCCTTCAATGAAGATTGCAGTCTTCTCTTCACTCTTCTTTCTCGGCTGGCCTGGAAACAATAACGAGTACCAATATTATTGTAAACAAAAACCAAAACCGATTTATCTATAACCTGCAAATTCACCTTTTTGTATCATAATTTCCAAATAAATAATACAAAAATTAGAGAAGCCCAGAATTTTCAAATGGATCAAGGAGCAAAAAGTAGAATACAAACTGCAAATGCAAGCATTCCTTTTAATCACAAAATATTCCCAGCACCAACAAGGCAAACTAAAAAATCAGATATGATGATAATAGCAAGAAGAATATCATTCATAAAAATGCAAAGTTTCAACATATCTTTTAGATAACAAGTAACTAAAGGGGTAAACTAATAAAATATAACAGCGTGAAGCTTAAGGCCCTAACAATCTTCACTTCACTAGTAAAAGGAGAATCTAAATCTATTAAACAAATAAATATCATGTACCTGCTGAA